CCGAGTCTGAAATGTCGGTTGTTGTTGAATTTTTTTTGTTTGTAACCCCAAAAGTCGAACCAAACTTCACATCGGTTGTTCGGTTTGGTGACCAATTTTATTGATATCAGCAATATTGGTTTTAGTTAAAACTGTATAAACATCCTTGGATTTCTTTTCTTTGCTTTCCGTTTTTCCCTGTCCCATTGTCAAGAATTTCATCTCTAATAAAAAATTAAAGAAAAATAAGGAAATCAAGATAATTTGAAATAAAAAAAATGAAAGAATTAGAAGAAGAGCCCAAAAAAAAAAGGGTGAGGGAACAAAATCTAAGCCTTGATATCTTGTGCATTTCACAGCCAACACAAGTTGCCATCATCCCAGTGAGAACAGTAAGAAAAAACGCTGAGGAGCAGTACATCACAAGAAAATAAGAGACTGAACATGTTATGAAAGAGAAGCCAAAATTTTGTTGGGTTAGAAACGCAGCAACATGGATTTTGAAACGTGGGTGTGGCTATTGAAACGTAAGAAAATAAACTTGTAAATAGATACTTAGATTTAATGGTGTAAATTTTCTCCTTTGGATCTGATTTAATGGTTAAATTAATTCAAATGTATTTTATTTTAAATATTTTATATTTAAAATTAGGTCTTAACCTGATTTAAAATTTAAAAATAAAATTATAAAAGTCCAATACTTAAATGTCAACTGACCTCTCAACAAGACAGATCGTGCTTAGAACTATTTGAACTTAGATTCAATCCCAAATCTCCCTTTTCCTACTTCCCAAGGAAAATTTCCATTGTTCAAAAGAAAAAAAAAATATATAAAAAGTCAAAATAATAACCTACCCCTATATACACGTGTCATATGCATAAAATGGGGAGGAAAAAAAATAATATTCAAATTGAAACAAAGCTCGGTTGTTCGGCGGCCTAATCTGGTTTTTTGGTTCTGGGCTTGGGCATCGAACACGGACCAGAAAACAATCGGGATTACACCGAAACCATCTTTCTAGGCCCGAATCCCATTTCAACAGACCCAAAATCCGAACTTCGGGTCAGTTTTCGGCCCACCAAACGGGCTTTTTTACCCAGGCTTAACGAGATTAGTATTTTTTTACTAAATTTGTAAAATAAAAATAAAAAATATTTTA